TAACCTGAAAGATCTTTGAAATTAAATTACAGAGTCAACAGAAGCCGTACTAAGAGAATTTAATTGTCAGTAATGTTGAAGTGATGTGTATGATTCATTTCAAGATGATGTTGGTAACTAGTTCATGTACTTCATAGTCTGTTGAGATTCCATACATAAAGACCAGAGAAAATAAATGGCATTCATTCTTTCATCCTACCTATTTTGATGGTTGGTGTTGATATACCTAGGAGATGGACAAATATATGTTGCTCTATCTTTTTTTTTTATATATCATAAATACACATTTATGTATTTTCTGAAGAAGCATTCTTCATGGAGACAAATTTTCCATCAGTAAATGTTTAGGAACATACAGAAACAATAGTATACTGTATAAAGGAGACAATTGCAAATTTTTTTTTTTGGTTTTACTTTTTCACATTGTCAATTTCTTGTTCTCATTTTGTGTCTTTACTCTTGTTCTTTTTTCATGTTACTGCTCTTATTAGTCTTGTTTCACTCATGAATTATTTTCCATTTATTATTTTCTCTTGTTTGGTGATTCATTTTTAATTTTCTTGTTCTCTATGTATCTTTTTATTTCCTTTAGTTGCTGGATAACAGTTCTCGAAAGCTGAGGGCTGATCAGGTTGAAGTTGAATGAACATTTATCCAGTTGTTCTATTCCCTCCATTAGACTTCTTGTGGCCTCTCTTTCCATTCAGACAGACAAGCCTTGAGAAAGTACACGGTCTTACTCTAAAGTTGGGTGTATATAGGAAATGTTTTCTCCCCATGTTTGTTCTCCTTTCTTTCCTTCTCTGATTCTGTTTTGGTCAGTAGTTCAACTTTTTATTCTTACAAACTGTTCCATTAGTATTCCTTTTGCTCACAGAATTTTTCATAATGGAAAAAAAAAATTCTTTGTGCTTGAAAAATGCTTGGATCTGCAGAAATAGTAGTAGTGACTCATGAATTAAGTTTAATATTGAAAAAGGTTCAATTTTAAAATATATTTTCTGATGCAGCCATCATCTACTTACTTGCATACTCACACAAAAATCTTTGAAATGGAAGATTTACAGACAAGACAAACTGAGTTACATTAGTAACTTACTTGAGTAGAAAGACCTTTCAAAAAACTACTAGCATATGTCAAAAAATTAACTAAGTCTTTAAAGGCAGTGAAAAAGTTGAGAACCACTGTCTAGACTAAAACTGCCTTGGATTTCCAAGAAGAGGCTTAATTTCTGCTGAAGAATCTCATTAAGACCCTTATTAATTATACCAGATTGACAGTATTCTCAAAGACTATTTTGTCTCATTACCATATTAATGAAAAAAAAAAAAAAAGATCTGCCTTGGACCAGTCCTTATAATAGTTGTTGTAAAATATATACAAATTGTATTATTCTTAAAAAAAGGGTGACTTTAAAGATAATGCTGCCAGTTACAATGGGTAACTAGGTCAAACTAATTAATGGAAATTTCAGTGTAACTAGTGTAATACATTAGTTAATGGCCAGTATTTAGAATATTAGAGAGGCTTGTTATACTCCATAATACACAGAAATGGGAGTGCTCCTTCAGTAGTCACAGGGTACAATACTTCAGTAAAGAACAAGATAGTTTAGGGTAGACAGAGACCTTAGTGCCAATATCAAGATGATTAATAAAATTTAACTAATGTTTTCCATCACATACAAACTTACAAAGGTGAATTCTCTGATTTCTTACAACCTGATATAGCTACATAGAAACTACACCACACAACTTGTCTTTTGTTTCAGTACAGTACAGTATTTGAACCAGGGCTAGCTCACCATTTTGGCTACTTAAGTGGAATTAGAACTTGGTGCCTCCTCCACCTAAACAAGGCAGCCATAGCCCACAGGCAAAACCTCAAGATAGTGGCATCCTCAGTGATCACCTATTTGACATATGCTAAATGCCAAACCCTGATTTGAACTACTGTATACACGTTTTTTTTCATTTAGTAATTTGAGGTAGAACGTTGATTCTTTTCCCATTAGAAGGCAATTACAACACACTGATTTAGGAAATTCATTAAAGCACTATATTAGTACAATGATACCTACAACTGTACCGTACAAAAGAAAACTATTAAATCTGAAAACCTTTTATTACATATGAATCCTGCATTACCTAGAATTGTGGAGATTCATATTCAAAGCCAAAGCATTAGTGATCTTTGTAAAACTAGTTTTAAAGCATTTTTGTTTCTGCATGCTTTTATATTTATATTTAGCAGAAAGTTATCACTGTCAACAGACAATGCAGTGCAAATAGCTCTTTTCAATGGAATGCTATTTTTTTCCAGTGTGCAGTTCATGTAAACAACTGTAAAATCTTTTTGGCCTCTCAGACATGCCTCTTTGTTAAAGGAGCAATAATCTCATCTAAAATCAATTCCGTTATTGGTGAAAAAGGTATTATATTCACTGAATCCAGCTGGGCTACATAGAAATTTATATCATTAATGTAAAACTCAAGAGATGGATATCCTGTCTCTTGTTCTCTTCATCAACAGTTCAGGAAATCACAACTTATGCTTTGCAGATGATCTTGACCTAATAGGAGGGAGTGTATAAGGACAGTAAGAACCTGTAAGTCTACTTGAGACCAGAAAAATAAGGAATGGAAATCAAATTGGAAAAAATAAATTAATGAGTACCAATTGGTTCAAGATCGAATTTAAGCAATTAACTTCTTCATATCCAGTATGTTAGGGTTGAAAATTTCTACAACTAAGTTTGCTGTTCATGTTTTATGATCAAGTTTATCAGCCTCCAAAGCCCATGCAAATGACTATGTATACAAGTTATGTGTCACATTAATGAATTATGTTTATCTTTGCTAAAGCATTTTACATGCAATAGCAACCTGTTCCACATTCTCCAGTTTTTAGCACAAGTTTTGATTTTTTAATTGATAGTTAAATGCATTACTGAATTTACTGGCCGGTCTGAGAAATGCTGCTTTAAAAAATGTGATCCTTGGAATTATTTCATGTTCTTAAGAGCATCTCTGTTGACATCACTTGCATGAGATATTGCATCTTCAAATATGTCAAATAAAGATTAAACATTTAGTTAGCATTGTTACCTTAGCTTATAATTGTCATTTTTTGTGACTTTGGATGAGTGGTACTCAACCTGGGACCCATGGACCACTGAGGGTCTGCAGAAATAGTAGTAGTGACTCATGAATTAAGTTTAATATTGAAAAGGTTCAATTTTAAAATATATTTTCTGATGCAGCCATCATCTACTTACTTGCATACTCACACAAAAATCTTTGAAATGGAAGATTTACAGACAAGACAAACTGAGTTACATTAGTAACTTACTTGAGTAGAAAGACCTTTCAAAAAACTACTAGCATATGTCAAAAAATTAACTAAGTCTTTAAAGTCAGTGAAAAGTTGAGAACCACTCTTTTAGACTAAAACTACCTTGGATTTCCAATAAGAGGCTTAATTTCTGCTGAAGAATCTCTTTAAGACCCTTATTAATTAAGATTGACCAGATTGACAGTATTCTCAAAGACTATTTTGTCTCATTACCATATTAATAAAAAAAAAAAAAAGGATCTGCCTTGGACCAGTCCTTATAATGGTTGTTGTAAAATCTATAAAAATTGTATTATTCTTAAAAAAGGGTGACTTTAAAGATAATGGATGCATTTATTATTTGTATTCTATAATTGGATGTGTTTCTCTTCTTCAGACTGTGCTGAATTTAACTGGCATTAATAATTTCTTCATGTAGTTCAATATCAAGCTGCTTCCATTTGTATTTTAAGACCAGCACAGCTATTTCTGTTTCCTGATTAAACCTTAAAGCCTTTGGCTCCTGTCTCCTCTTCAGCCTTCTTTTTGGGTTCCACTAACCAAATATGAAATAACTTGTTGCTTTATTTGTATATGATACTGTCAAGATGTTTATAATATAACTGTTAACAGAAGTGTCTTCCTTTCATGTAGTTGCTGTCTAATAGCTGGTAATGTGATATTTTATCAATATCCAATTTCTTTTTTCTTCTAAACCACGCTAGCATTCTGTAATATTTAGATACTAACATTTCTTATAAAAGTAGTTTTGTTCTAGCAGCTGTCTCTGTCCTTTCAGTATTTTAACATGCCAACAAATTTCAGAACACACAATATAAACGTTCTTCCCCCAAAAGCCATGAACTTATGGAAAAAAAAGTTAATGAACTTTTATATCTTATTTTGAAGCTTTATAAATGGGATTTTGTATGTTATCACAGTATAATATTGCCTTTTAAGATATTGCTCTTGTCATTTTTACACAGCCAGATTAAAAACTCAAAAACATTGACATATAACTTTTTTCATCATAATACTGGGATGCAAAAGGAAAATATAGTAGCAAATAACTATAAGTGTCTTTTATTTATGTAATGCATCACAGTATCACAATGTATAACAACGGAAAATAGCCTTACATGCTTTTTCCCACAAACCACTGAAGTGTAACAAACCACAATACATATAAATGTTCATCTAAGAGTAAACTTGAAAAATAGGTTTACTTCTCATATTCTAAAAATTGTCTGCATATGAAGATATTTCATAATTATTAAAAGAACAGCAATGATACCAATAAAGAATAAAAAAATAACATGATCTGAACCTTAATTTCCTTCAGTTACACAAAAAAAACTCACATTTCTTCAATTACATGATTTTCTCCTTCTACCCACTGGTAAGACTTATATTCCACTTTCTTGGTTGAGCCAAGACTTGCAACCACCAAAGTCTTTTTAGTTGATGTGCCTATGCGAGACCAGGTCACAAGGTCATGGATGTTCACTTGATCTACATCTTCCACACATTTCACAATAAATTTTGCATGAAACAGGACTGGATCTCCTGGATACACTAAGAAGTCTCCACCAAATTTGATACCATTTGTTAAGTAATAATCTCTTTCCCACATATCTTTAAAAACAGCATATCTCAGTTTCTCAGTGTTACTTGAAGGGAAAGACCATCTGGCCTCCTTTGGGGTTAGTCTTTTTATTAAGGGATTTTCAACAAATATCTCACAGACCTGAAGATGCTCTGGCAATCTCTGAATCTTTTTGCATTCTTCTTCAATGACTTTCTCGTGAGTAAGTTCATTCAGCTCCGCCTCTGTGACAGATCCCGGTGTGCTTTTCATCCGCTTTTCTAACTTCTTTCGTTTACCAGAAAGGATTTTATCTGCAATGACTTCTATTTCTCTTTTCCGCTGTTCAGCCGCTGCTACAACTTGTTCTTCATAACACCGCTCCCGGCAGTCATTGAATATTTCCTTCAGTTCAGATGCTGGCTCCTTTTTCATTTCTTCATATTCTACCAACTTTGCAAAATCCTTTTCAATTAATAAAGTAACCTCTTCTGGCATAAGCTGGAGGGGAAGTCCCAACATCTGTACCTGGTGAGGATTCCGAGGGAGAGCACCAACCAAATTACCGACAATTCTGTAACACCTGCGAAGAAGATCTGCATCTTTGGCATTCCAGACGTGTACTCTTCCATGTGTCAGAGTCAGATTCACGCAGCTGTGACTTTCGTAATCTCCTTCTGCATCCATTTCTCATAACCAAAAAATGTACTAAAGGTTCATGAAGAGAACTGGCAGTTACTGCTTGTGGTCAATAAAATGCTATCTTGGGTCCACATGTAACTGTTGAATAGAAAATAATGAAATATTAGCATAATAATACTTAAGACCTTCTTTATTCTGGATATGAATTGAATAAGTACAAAAACTTAATTGTGAAGCCAGCTGTAGAAAAAGGTCCCTGTAATCCATTTGATAAGCCACATGAATGGTGCCAAACAAGCCAAATTAATTTAGCTCAGTTTCATGCTTTATATGCCATATTCTGTCATTCTTTTGTAACATCTACCATCCTTACAAATAGACACAAACAAACCAAAGAAGTGTGGACTTCATGTCAAACAAATTGCAAGTAGAACAATGAAGGGAAGTATAGGAAAACACACAAATATGCCAAGCATATTTGTGTGTTTTCCTGTACTTCCCTTCATTGTTCTAATTGCAAACCAAAGAAGGTAGAGGAATTCTATTCTTCAAATGTACATCTTGTATATCTTTGTACACATGGTACCGTAATATGAATAAGGAAAGGGGGGAGGAGGGAGGAAAATGAAATCTTGGCCTTTTTTTTTTGACAACTATTAATGAACTATTTTCAAAGATAATATACTGAAAAGACATTTACTGCAGAACTTCACACATCCTGACATTCAATGATGTCTTCATGTTTAACTAATGAGTGTGATGTGTGATATCAGGTATAGGTTGATACATAATCATTTGTATAATTTTGTTGATATAATTATAATCAACAATAGTAAAACAAATGTTAAATTATATTACTTACGATAACAAAGAGTTGCATAGCATAAATAGCCATCAAAATGCTCTAGGGAAAAAAACTGAATTAATCTTTGGGTTAAAATAGCTAAATGGGAATGTTGATACCTGTCTTACATGCAACTTGTATGCATATAAGAGCAAACTCTTTTAGTAAAATAATAGTTAATAGCTGAAAAAGTAAATATGTACAGCCTATAGAATGAGAATACAAACTTTCCTTTAAAACATTGCATTGATCTCCTATACTTTACATACATACATACATATATATATATAAATATATATATATGTGTGTGTGTGTGTGTGTGTGTGTGTGTGTGTGTGTGTGTGTGTGTGTGTGTGTGTGTGTGTGTGTGTGTGTGTGTGTGTGTGTGTGTGTGTGTGTGTGTATGTGTGTATGTGTGTATGTGTGTATGTATGTATGTATGTATGTATGTATGTATATGTATATGTATATGTACGAATGTATATCTATAAATATTATATGTATATGTATATATGTATATATATAAATACTATATATATATATATATATTTGTGTGTGTGTGTGTGTGTGTGTGTGTGTGTTTATATATATACATATATATGTATATGTATATGTATATATATATATATATATATATATATATATATATATATATATATATATATATATATATATATATATATATATATATATATATATACACATACATACACACACGCATATAATGTATATGTTAATGTATATATATGTGTATATATGTATACATCTACACAAACAAAGGTCCACTTTAGACCTCAGCTGCAAAGGGGAGGAGAGGTAACACTTCCTTGATCCCTGGTTGGCTATTGAGAAACAGTAAAATTGTTACCAATTCCATGAAGGCGATGTTGTAAACAAACAATAATAATTAAATAAACACGACACAGTATGACTGAAAATAATGAATAACAGTCTTCAAAGGTAGAACATTAACTTTTAAATAACATTCTTACCTTGTCTTGCTTTGTAGTCTATCTGATATATTTCAGTATATATTTCATTGTTAATGTAACATGCATTTTTGTTGAAGTTTTATTTATATCTACTAATATTTTACATCTTCTTCTTCTTCTTTCTTCTTTTATAGGGTTTTAGACTATTATCTAGTCTATATCCCCTGGATCTTTTTTCTTTCTTCTTTCTTCTTTTTTTTTTTTTTCTTTTTTTTCTTTTATATTATATCTATTAGTTTCGTTTTCTTTAGGAATATTTTTGTGTGTCTTAAAATGTAGTACTTCTTTATTGGTGGAAGATCAGCACCTGTAAGTAATAAGTCTATATTAGGATTGTTTATTTTGATTCTTTTTAAAGCTTCCATCAGGTCTGTTCTGTAAGAGTGAAATCTTGGACATTGTAGTATGAGATGTTGTATGTTTTCTTCTTGATGATGACACCATCTACATGTTGGGTCATTTATTATTTTTACTTTATGTAGATGGTGGTTTAATCTTGTGTGTGTCGTTTTGAGTCTGGTTATACACACATCGAGTTTTCTGTTTTTTGATCTTGACCATGGTTGTATTTCAGTGTTTTTTAGAAAGTAATTTTTTGTATTTAGGATTGTGTTTATTTGTGTTTTCCATTTTTTAAGATATTCTATTCTTATTTGTTTTATCTTTTTTTTTCTGTCCTCATGTATGGTTGTGGGGTTTAATATGTTGTGAGCATGTTTTGCCGCTTGATCAACTATTTCGTTACCTCTTATGTTTTTATGTGAAGGTATCCATTGTATACTTAATGTTTGATTTTGACATATTAGTGTATATATCAGTGTCTGTATTTCAAATATTGTGTGTTTATAATTTTTAGGTTTTGGGTTTGATATTAGCTGTAAAGCTGATTTTGAGTCTGAAAATATTACTGTTGTTCTTAATCTATTATTCTGGATATATTTGATTCCTTGTTTTATGGCAAAAAGTTCAGCCTCAATTATTTCTGTTTTGTCTGGTAATTTCCATATTGTTGTAATCTTTTTTTCTTCGATATATATGGCCGCTGACGTTGAATTTGTGCTTAATTTTGATCCATCAGTGAATATTTTTTTTATGATTTAAATATCTTGTGTTTTCCAACTTTATAAATTGAGTCTTTATTATTAGTTCGGGGATGTTTTTTGTTGGCTCATCTAAGAAGTTGGTTTCTATGTTTTTTGTAATATCTAACCAAGGTGGAATGGGAGTTATGTTTGATATTGTTTTTGTTTTTATTGTTATATTTAATTCTTTGCAAGTTTCTATTACTCTTTGTATTATACCTCTCTTACCTTTTTCAGGATTATATGTTTCAATATTTGCTGTTACATTTTCCTTAATTTGATTATTCTCTTGTTTTTCTAATATTTTCATCATTTGCATACATTCCAATTCTTTTTGTTTATATTTGATGGGCATTTTGTTTGTGAGTGAGTATAAAGCTACGATTGGGGTGGTTTTTAAGCAGCCTGTAGCAATTCTAAGTGCATTATTTTGTATAATTTCTATTTTTTTCATTTCTGTATTTTTGGCTGTTCCGAAGATAGTGATACCATATTCTATTTTAGGTTTTATATAAATGTCATAAAATTTTATTATTGTTTCTCTGTTTGCTCCCCATTTTGTTGATGATAATTTTTTCATTATGTTTATTCTTTTAGAGCAATTTATCTTTAGATTGTTAATTTGATTTTTCCAAGTTAATCTTGGGGCATCAAATTCTAAACCTAGAATTGTGTGATTAGTTGTAAAAGTGAGTGGTTTGTTGTCTATTTGAATTATTGGTATTTGTCGTATTCTTTTTTTTGTAAAGCACATAAGTTTACTTTTTGTTAAATTTATTGACAGTTCCCATTTATTTGCCCATTCTATTATCTGTTTTACTCCTAGTTCTAATTTGTTTTTAGCCTCTTCTAGACTATTATTTATGGATATTATTGTTATATCATCTGCATATATTACTTTTTTTAATTCGTTTGTAAGAGTTAAATCTGATAACATTATGTTAAACAATAATGGGCTTAAGGGAGAGCCTTGTGGTAGGCCTCGTTCTGTGTTTTCTTCCGTAGATTTTTTGTTACCTATAACTAGTTGGTATGTTCTGTTTTTTTAAAATTCTATGATCCACTTGAGTGGGGCACCTGTAATACCTAATTTTGCTGCTTTTGCTACTATTGCATCATGGTTTGTTGAATCAAAAGCTTTTTCAAGATCTAAACAAGCTATTAAGGCATATTTTTTTTCTTCATAAGCTTTGTTGATTTGATAGTCTATAAATTGTAAGGCATCTAACGTTGAGCTGTTTGGTCTAAAACCTTTTAGATCTTCATTTAATTTATTGTTGATCTCCAACCACCAGTTCAGTCTATTAGTTATTAGGCTTTCAAATATTTTTCCTAAGCATGATATTCTGCTTATATATCTATATGACGTCTTATCTGAAGGGTCTTTACCTGGTTTTGTTATTGGATTTATTAATGATTTTTTTAGTTCTTTAGGGTATTCTCCTTTTAACCAGTAAATATTGAGTATTGATAAGATTTTTACTAACATATTTTGAGGACAATACTTAAAGAATTCATATGGAATTTCATCAGGACCATAAGCTTTTCTGTTTTTTGATTTTTTTATTACTGAAATTAATTCTTTTAGAGTTAGATTTTTGCTTATTCCTTCAGTTTTTGTTTTTTCTGTCAGGTTCTTAATTTCAGTTTTTGTTAGCAATCTTTTTGTTTTTTTGTTTGTTGATTTTTGGAATTCTCCTTTTAGGACTTCTAGCTTTTGTTCTGTGTCTTGTATAGGAAGGTTGTTAACAATTAGTGGATAAGTGTTTGTTCTGTTTTTACCATCTAGTTTTTTAATGAATTTCCAAATTTTTCTGGATGGAGTGTTAAAATCCAGAGACGAACAAAAGTTTTCCCAACTATTCTTTTTTTCTGTTTCAATTATGGTTCTCGCTTTAGTTTGAAGTTTTTTGAATTCATATCTATTTATGTCATTTGGGTTTTTCCTCCATCTGTTAAAGGCTTTATTTCTTTGTTTTATTATTTCTTTACACTTTTTATTCCACCAAGGTTTGCTTGGTTTGTTTTTGTTTGATTTATTGTCAAATATGAAATATTTTTTGCCTGTGTTTTTTATTAATTCTAGTATTTCTTTTATTGAGTTCATGTCCTTGAGGTCTTTTTTCTCTATTTCTTCTTTGAAAAATCTCCAACCTTCTTTATTGAAGTCCCATTTTTTTTCTGTTATATGTGATTCGTTTTTATTAGTGCAGTCTTTTATTACAATTGGGAGATGGTCACTACCATAGTTTGAGAGAGTTTTTATTTCCAAGTGACTTAGTTCGGGCGAACCTATTACTAAGTCTATGGTTGTACCTTTTCCTGTTTTAGGATCTATTCTTGTGATTAATCCCGTAGGTGTTAATAACATCAGATTGTTTTGAGTTATATAATTAAATAAATTTATTCCCGATGTATTTGTCATTTTTGTTTTTATATTAGGGTTCCATGATGAATGATGGGCATTAAAATCACCTATTATTAACTTTGGGTTATCTAATTGTTCAATATAATGATCTAATTCTCTTTCTTCTATTTTATTACATGGATTATAAATCAAAATTAAATCTAACCATTTATTCTTGTAGCTAATTTTCATAGCTATTTTTTCTATTTTATTATTCTGACTTTCAATAAGATTTATTTTCTTGTATTGTATACTACTGTGTATACAAATTGCTAGGCCACCTCCCCTTTGATCAGTTCTGTCTTTTCTTTCTATTGAGAAATTGTTTAACCTGAAATTCTCGTTTTTTGTTAGCCAAGTTTCGCAGATTGCGAATATTTTTGGATTTTCCTTTTCTATTATTAAGTCAATTTCAGTCTTTTTATTTAGAATAGACCTAGCATTCCAGAGTATTATACTATCCATGTAAAATATCCATGATGTTTCTTATTATTGGTACTGCTTCTGTTATGGTCTCGGTAATGGTTTTGATTAAGGGTTTGTCTGATTTTAAGTTTAGTGCTATGTTTGAAATAAGATTGATTATTCTTTTTATTATTTCAATCCAAGAAGGATTATTTTCTTCTTGTTCAAATCTTCTTTCTGGTGTAATGGGTTTATTTAGGGGTGTTGGCAGTGACCATGTTATAGGAGAGTTTACTTGTTCTTTGTTTTTAGTATTAGGGCTGTTTGATAGTCTTTGTTCTTTTGTTTTTTCATATTTTGATTTTACTGGTGGAGTAAGTATATCTGTTTCTTTTTGGTTAGCTTTGTTTTTTTGTTTTGTGGGCGTTTTCTGGGCTGGAGTTATGATTTGTGTTTGTTTTAATGTTTGAGCAAATGTTTGGGTTACTATTGGATGTGTTTGTTGTGTGTTGTTTGTGTTGTCCTTTGTTTGTTGATAGTGTTCTGAGTCAGCGTTGTGTATCTCGGCTATTACTAGTATGTTGTTTTTGTTGGGTGTTGTTTTTGTTTTTTGTGTTGTTGGGTTCAACTGATGAAGAAGTTTTTTTACTTCTTGGTTGTTAGGTGTAGTGTTTTTTTTGTTTATTTCTTGTGCTTGTATGTGTACATGACATGTCCTGTCATATGCTTGGTGATTACCTTTACAGAAGAAACAATAAGAGGGGTTAGAACAGTCTTTGTATTTATGCCCTACCTGACTACAATTACTGCACCTTAATTTGTTTTTGCAGGAAATTAATCCATGACCATACATGAGACATTTAAAGCATTTTGGTATAGGAAATGTATATTGGAAAACTTGGTAGGCTGTATGTCCTATGACTACTTTGGAGGGTAGAGGACCTGTGAATATTAATTTTAAAGCTCTAGTTGGTAGCCATTTATTTTCTCCTTCTGGAGTTTTTGTTAATTTGTTTATTCTGTTAATTTCTTTTATTTGGGTATTTGATCCCCAAATGGTTCTCATTTTATCTTGTAATTCCTTGATCTCTATTTCTGTTTCCACTGGGGAAATTGTACCATAAGTACATCCTAGGTTTCTACTAGAGGCAGGTTGTTTGCACTGAACATTCCATTCTCCTAGTTGGGTTATTTCATTCAGAGGTCCTACTTT